CCAAGATATGTCATAATCAAATTCCTGGAAACAAATAATTAAGAAGAAACTTAAAAGCAGCCATTGGGAAGAAAAAAAGATATTTTCTATCCCCTCTTCCTTCAGAGATTCCAATTACATGTATATTAGACTGCAAACTATTGTGCTGCAGTCACTGAAGCTATGCAATTTTGGTTTGGTTTGGTTTTTGATTGAGGGGGTTTTATGTTTGGTTCGTTGTTGCTATATTTTGGGTCTTTTTTCCTCTGTGATTTAAATATGATGGGTGTCACCGGCATTTAGCAAGGAGAAAATTGGGACCAAAGAAGCAGAGGAATTTATCAAGACGAGTAAAATCAGTTCAACAAACCACGGACCTAGGTCATATTTACACTGGTAAAATAAGAATGAAATAATGAAAAAATAAATAAATAATACAACCAAATAATTTATGTAAATCCATCTGGGTTTTTTTTCAATCAAGAAATTAATTCATCATTTATCTAAAGTGGAACAGATTAATAAATTATTTAATATTCAACAAAACCCAATCATCCCTGATATGAATAAATAAAAATAAAAATGTATTATGCACATATTAGAGGTCAGATAGCATTTTGGCCATGATGACCACAAAACAGGTTCACAATTCGAGGCTTTCGATGAGACCTATCCTTGTCATCCTCTTTCCCATTCCCCAATGAATACATTAGATTGCTATTTTCAAATCATTAGCAACACAAAATTTGATTTTACAAAGTAGACCTGATCATACCATTAACATGTGTAATGCCAAAAACAAGCTACAGTCAATTTTTGGGCACTCAACGAAGTGAAATTTGATGGCTTTTGAGATGGCCTGGAGGGTTCCAGAAAGGCCAGTAGGGCCACGTCTGGTCAGCCAGAGACTCAAGAAGCATTAATTGCAATTTCTGAACAACTGAAAGTATCTAAAAAAGAAAAAAGTCAAAGTTTCATTTTTACAGAGAACATATAAAAAACAAAAGGGCTATACTAAGCCAAAGGGATTCAGACTACACAACAATTAGCAAGAAGTTATTGCCTAAAGACAGCAAGAGGGATTTTTCTCTGGAACTTTTAAGGAAAAGCAAACAGGTAACCACCAGGAATTGTTTACAGGCAGATACAGATTCACCCATGCACAAGACAATGCCCTTTTCTACACAAAGAACTGAAGTTGCTATCATACTTTTATAAGTTCTTTTGCTTTTATGAGAAAGTTCTTTACCTACTCAAATGTCAGAAAAACATCAGATTTTACATTTGTTTTTTTAGAAATTTAATTATCCTGCTAAAATGGCATGAGAAAATTCTTAAGCCTTTTCTCCAAAAGTTCAGCCAATTATCCTACTAATCACTGATATAGCTTATAAATTTAGTTATATCCAAGGATTACCTCGACATTTCCCTGTATTTCCCCCTTTATGGAATATCTACCTTCACTTTACTCCAGTTACTTTGAGAAAACAGCAATCATTACATTTGGGGGTGACTCAACATCCTGACCTTTGCCTATCTTCATCTTCAAAAGAGTGAGCCATAAACCCTGGGAGTAAGAGCAGACAGCACCACCAGCAAGAATGTTGGACTAACAGGAACAAGAGCCCTCTGTCTGCCCAAGCATACCAACTAGGCACACTCTGAAAAACACAGTTGTTCTCCCTTAAGAATTACCATGGGAACAGGGGCCCCGACATAACCTGACAAATGTAAAGACAAGAGAGGCAACAAGGTGAAATGGTACACAGTCCCAAAGGTTCTCCTAAAAGTCACAAGACAAAAGAATCAACGAATAGGAGGTCTTGCCTGATGGATATTTCTAGGTTTAAAAACACAGTAAGTGATCTCAGTCTAATGAGTTAGATGATCCAGTGCACGATCAGTCTACTGAGTATCAGTGGCATTTTGTAGACTGAACATTTTAGAGGGAGGGAATAACAAAAAGCTATTATCTCAGCCTTTCAGCCCACTAGCAAATAAACCAGTAGTCACAAGCTGAGCTGCCCATAAGAACAAGACAAATGGAATAAATAAGAGAAAGGAGGCAAGTGAACCAGTCCTCAGAGTCTAAAAGCAATAGGGAATGGCAAGTTGGAGCTCCCATCCCTGAAACACTTGCTCCTGCTAGTGGAGGCATTCATTACATTCGTGCAGCAGTTTGTGCCACAGAAAATTCAAGCTCAGGGCAGGAGATTTAGCTCAGCGGTTCAGTGGCCTGCCTTGCAAGTGCAAGGACCAGAGTTCAATCCCCGGTACCAAAGAAAAAGAAAAGAAAATTCAAGCTCAGAGCTGCTTACAACTTTTTTGAAAAATCCATAAAGAAGAATTTGTATACAACTTTCCTTCTTAAAATACACAGGTCAACCAAACATATCTACCATGTGTTTCTAAGAGCCAAATTTGACCTATGGATCAACATCACGGTCTCTCAAATTCCAGAACTCCAAAACTCCCACCCTGTTCCCACACCCTTGCTGCTTCCTACGTCCTTTTATCCTTAGTATGACAAATGATTGAGTACTGCACAACTCAGTGGACTCTGGAGTGTGAGTAGGAGTGCCTCTCCATCTCATTCATAACATTTAATTCAGCCACACATACCTTAATAAATGGAAATAAAGATCAATCACTAGAGATAATCACGCTATTTGATCAGAATACTGAATTAAAACAATTTTTAAGTTGTCAGTAAAGAACGGGTCTTATATCTCCAAAAATGTCATTTTTGGTTTTCTTTTGTTTAGTTGGTTTAGGTTTTTGGTTTTTAAAAGCTTTTAAATGCCCTATTGCATGTATTAAAACTGTTTTCAGGGTCAAGCTCTGGCGTCAAAACCTTCTAGGCTAGAAGCAAAATAATATACTACAAAGAAAATCGACTAAATAGAAAATCACTTCCATTGAAAATGCTGTAGAATTTTTAGCTTCTACACAAAGTGGATTGATTCTTACTTTAAAATACTTTAATGACATCCTACTGCAATTAAAGTAAAAAACTTAAGGAATGAGTCAAACCTACCAGAATTCAACCTACAAAAGATTGCTGTACGAGATCATCTGTGTTAATCATATAAACAAATTATGGCCTCCCACTCTCTAAAAAGCTTTCTGCCTTCACTACATGAGAATATAAAAACATACTTTACAATACAGAGTTTCTCATATATTCACCTGAGGCCTGGATTAGGGAGGTTAATATATTATTACCAGCCATATGCAATCATCTGTTCTCACTGATACCTGATGGTAACAAGTTCCCCATCTGGGTAATTTACATAAACTGAGAAATATGACATGCATTCTTCTCCACCTCAAACCCTCCACAGATATTTTAGAGAGTAACTGATATCAATTTGGAAATATAATCCATTTTAATTCCTGAGATCAAAATGAACAATTGTGATAGAACAGATGAGTGATATAAAAAAGTATAACAGATTCAGATTAGAATTTGTTTTTTATAAAAAGTTCCAAGTCTTCCCTATCCAAATCAAAAAAAATTTTACTATAGAACATTTTAAAAATGGTAAATGAGAAGAAAAATCCAAGAAGTGATTTTTTTTAATGGCATTAGGAATTGAACCACTGAGCTATATTCTGGCCCTTTTTTATTTTTTTATTTTGCGATAAAGTCTTGAAAGTCACTTTACCCAGGTTGGGCTAAAATGTGCAGTCCTCCTGCCTCAGCCTCCCAGAGTACTGAGTTTACAGGCATGTGCCACCACACCCACCTTAGGAAGTGATTTTTAATCTAATCTTAAGAACTCTTCTTTTACCATTGTATAATGGCAATAAGTGAATACAATAGGAATCTGCTGACTTAGTCCACAAGCATACTAAACAGCAGCAAGTATTCATCATTAGGCATGACATTCACAAGTGCATAAGTCCCCAATCAATTTCAGTTGGAAAGAAAATGCCAAGATCCAGTGGTTTCCAACCCACCAGCAGGCCAAACAGACCCTTCATTTAGTCCTAATGTTGGTCTGCCTGAAAATAGTCACTCTTATGCATATGATTTATAATTATTATATTTGGTATCAGAGACCAGAAGCTTGAAATCTAAAGCACTGTGTTATGAGATCAGGTAACATATTGAAAATATTATTTGTATTTTGTTAGGATATTATGGCAGAATCCATAATTTGTACAAATAAAGTTAAGACAAAACAAAGAAAAGGGGTATAATGGAAAATAAGGGAAGGAGAAAAACTGTTAAATCCCAAGATGTTCAAAAATAAAAGCACGCTAACTGTTACAAATCTACGTAACAGAGGACAATAGCCACAGAAACATTTGGCCTTTAAAGCAAAACTTTTGACAAGAAAACAATAAAACTAATTGAACAATTACAATAGCCAGCTCAAAATTCTAATTTCCAAGAAAGGAATAATACTGTAAATATCTATAACAATTGTGCTGGGTTTTTTTCCCTTTCCACCATGTTTCTTTCAGTAGAAATTCTAAAATATAAATCTATATGAGGAATAGTTGATTTAATAATTTAATAGTTAATTTAATAGTTAATCTGTATGAGGAACAGTTAAGTTAAAACTTGATAAAGAATGATAAATTTACATTATTTTACATGTCTCAAATAATATTCCCACAACAATCTGTTTCTTTTATAAAAAGAAATTAGATTTCTAAATGAAAACACACCTCCACACTGACTATTCATGAGGTCATACCCAGGGTAACATTTAGTCACAAACATTAAATGTTAACTTCTTCTCTACCAATAAAGTTACATTCTTGTATGGAAATGACATACTGTTCTTTCTGAAGAAATAAAAAACACTGGTCTTTGCTTTGAGTTTCATAATAGAGCTTAACTATTTTCTTTTACTCTTTCATAGAGCAAGAACCAGGGCTGCCAATCATCCTGTCAGTTTTCCTTTGAAAAATGCTATGAACTTTGGCTAACAGAAATCTCAAGAGAGCAAAAAATGCAATGATTCAGTATCACTAACACGGACGTATGGTCATTATACCCAACTTACCTAACACACTGACAAAAGCATCAAAAAGATGAAATGTAAGCAGTGGCTCTTTCAAGTGACTGTAATAATCTGCTATTGTTTTAAACACATCTTTTTCAAATCCCAAGTACATAGGCTGCTTCAAATCTGAACAGTTGGGCCCTATTTTGTAAAAAAAAAAAAAAAAAAAAAAAAAAAAAAAAAAAA